AAAAAAAAATCAATGAAGGCACAGGAAAGTTTAATGAGCACAGAGTTAGTGTGAAAATAATAGTAACTATCACTTTTAGTGAGGAGCTTTGAAGGTATAGTGATTACATATTGGGCTGCTCACAGCAAGGCCAGAAGTTCGAAACTACCAGCCACTCAGTGTGAGAAAGATGGGGCTTTCCACTCCCATAAAGAATTACAGTTTCAGAAACTCACAGGGACAATTCTACCTGTCAAATAGGGTCCCCACAAGTAAGCATCGACCTGATGGCAGTGGGCATCACTTTTAATAATATTAGTGTTCGTATTTTGCTGTTGTTGTTATATGATAAAGCATTTTACCATAGCTTATGAATTTTTGAGAATCTCAATGCATTGACATCTTAATTTTTTGTAGTTTTAACAAATGATGTTAAATTTTCCAAAACTCTGGATTATCTTAATACATATTATAGTTTATTATATTTTTTATATTCACTGCTTAAGGAACAGGTCATATTTTAATGTCAATATAAAGTTATTTTTAAATTTAAAGTATAATATTCCAGAAAAAAATTAATTAAAGTCAGTGATAATAACCACCCTTCAAATTAATATAAAATGTATATCATTGTATTTAGCTCTATACATTCCTTAAATGTTGTGGTTTATATCATTTAAATGGTCAAAATCTATTCTTTATCTTATGATACTACCAATGACTTTTACAATTATTGGCATGATTTTTGAAGAGAGTGGAGTTATGAAACTGAAGGCTCAGGAGAGGAGTACAAGTTATGGTATTTTTTTTCTTCTCTTTCATATTGTAAATTAATTCCTTTCTGAATTGTTAGTAAGAGGACTGTGAGTCATAATTCAGTCCGAAGCGCAGAGGCAATTTGTAGCATATTTAGATTAGGGAAGAGCGTCATTTTTCAACTGATACTTTGAGGGCCTCAAGGGTTTACAAAGCTGTTTCTATCTAAAGTTAGTAATGGTTTTAATATATTTTGTTTTTTATATGACTTGATAAATAAGGTAATTAATGTTTCCTTTAAAATTAAGTAATTTGAAAGTCTCTGAGTGCAAATTAAGTGAGCACTTGCAATAGTTTAGTCAGCTAAGTAGCTTTATGACTCACTTACTGAATCATGTGATAGCTCAGTTGAACATAATTTGCTGACATGGAGGATAAGGCCATTATTCCATTTTGAATTTTTTTCTTACCCTCATAAAATTTAAACTTTTTCTGTCAGTAAGGCATTCCTTAACATAGAAAATAAAAAATACATTAACTGAAATGTCTGTTGCATATATATGCTTTTCTTTCTTTTTCTTTTTAAAATCATTTCATTAGGGGCTCATACAACTCTTATCACAATCCATACATACATCAATTGCGTCAAGCACATTTGTACATTTGTTGCCCTC